CTGAAAATATAAATTAATACCACTATACAAAACATAATTCTGAAAAGTCAAGGCATCAGACAATGAAAGAACTGTACAGAGATGAGTCCAACCAGGAAGTTTTTATGAATTTTGTAGGCCCTGTTGTAGAGCCTAACTATGGTTCAAAGATTTCATTTGTTGTAAGAGACCAAACAGGTAAACAGWACRACATGRTKGAGAGTATAATGACATGAAGATAGATATTTGAAACGTAAGATGTCAGATTGGATCTAATTTTTGAACAAACGTATAATTTCTGTTTCAACTTAGTGGTTAAGACTTGTACATGATCACGATAAGTCAAATGAGAATCCAAAGTAATTCCAAGATATTTGTAGGTAGTGACAATATCAAGGGGTTTGTTTAAAAAGTGAGTTGATTTGTTATATTGACACGTCTATTTACACGTTGACATGTGCTCTAAATGATGGTTGACTTGTGCACAGTTTATTCAGTGGTATCATTTCTTCATTCAAATACTTTTATTTTTTTCAGGTTTACAAAAGAAAAAATGAAGCTGCAAAGAAGGAATACCTAAAAGCACTTGCAGAGTACAGGGGGGGCAAAATGTCTCAGGTGAGTAAAATTTAACTATGTAACGGTGTAAAACTTTTTTCTTTCTGTCCATTATTTTCACACASTAAAAATGTTGAGAATTGCATAATCCCTAATCTACACTACATGTGGTTCTGCTGCGCTGCATCTGTTTGAAACTTCTGATTTCAAAATAAAATCCACCTGCATTATGTTTGTAAACATATGCTGCACGCTACATGTTGCCATCTGCTTCCCAAACAGAAAAATACATTTTGACACCATTTGTGTATAAATAAGGTATATCCATATATTTATTAATATAGCTGGGATTTTGACAAAATTAGTCTGTTTTTGGTGAATTATTTTGACCAGAGTAGAGCTGCATCTGGTGTAAATTAGGGGCAACACGTCACATCAATCTGTAGGCTCTTTTCTGCTTCCTCTGGCCATTTGTTAGTCATATTTGGAGTCGGCCACGTCCCGCACTGACATGAGCTTTCAGAAATGAAGCGAGGTTTGCGGGAGCTCCAAAATGGCGTGGATCAGAAGTTAGCTGTATAAATGTGTTGGACATTTCCCTCGTGTTATTTCAAAAGTCACTAAATTAACTCTGTTTGAGTTTAACACRTCTTTTAAACTAAACACAAAGTTGCTGTGTGTCATCAGCAATATTCCCTTGGTGATAAATTTGTTGTTTAATCTTGCGGCTGGAGGGTCACAAACCAGATGTCGTCACTCAAAATAAGGAACTCAATAACTCTTTGAATTTACTAGTTGAATTTAGACTTTGAATACATAAAAATTCTTGTGTATTCTTATTTATTTTGAGACCATATTGACCTTTTACTGTATTTTGTAGTCTTCTTTCATGGCTGTCATATAATTAGCTGGAGGTAGCTTCAGTGTTGGGGTAGTATTTGTTAGTGCAGGGCTTCTCAAGCCATTTGAGTCTTGGGACCCCTTAAAAGGGCGAAAGAATTTCAGGGACCCCCTCATAAACCCCATGCTGTTTTAAAAGATAATTTATTGTCATTTCAACCCATAAATGCCATGGGAATATATATATATATATTT